ACAGGTGGCTATCAGTGGGGGTGGACGGGTAAACGTGGACAAGAGGACAAGAGCAAGAGACTAATAATTCCCTCACTAATAATATCATGTCACTTGTTACTCATCCCTCCTCCTCTTTTGCAAAAGAGGAGATTAATTTTCCTGTCATCTTTCCACAGTCTTTTTAACACAATCGAGAGAAGAGTAGGGAGGTTTTTCAATGAAAATAATATGCAGAGTCTGATGTTGGGGTGTAATTAGTTGCGCGGGAAAATGGTCGCGTATACTTTGAATTTTGTCGTCCACTGCCGCAGAAGCCACTTTGACATTGCGACGAAAGGCGCGGTGAGTGTTCAGAGGCATTTATGCGAATCATTTCACGGTGGTGCAGTCTAGGCGCCGGGGCGACCTTCACCCGTGAGCAGTGTGACACGCCCCGCTACCACGCCCCGCCCCACCGCCCCACACAACGACACCTTTTGTTTGCTGTATGGGCTGATTCTCAGGAAGCTTGACTTGACGAGTAGTCTGATGTCCTGCCCCGCCCACCTATCATTCGAGCATTCTACCTTTAACGCATGAACCTAATTAACTGGAACTTTTCCCGACACATGAGTTTGGGTGTCTCGGTTTCGCTTCTATTTCCTTTCTGGTGCACATTTTTTCCAGCCCTCACATAGCGAATGCGCATTGCCGCGACTTGTTTCAAATGCCGCAACGCGTATTGACGTTACGGAAATGCTTCCGGATGGAGCTCGGCGTGTATTTTGTGCTATAAAAGTGTCGCCGCGTCAAGGGGAAGCGAAGTGATGATACGTACTACAACATCCGCATTATCCCCCATGACAAACCTCTGCTTATTTTCCAGACGCGCCGGCGACAGACAAGGATAAAAAAAGGGAAGAAAAACAGTGAAACGTCGTTACCAGCGCATCAACAGTAACCCGCTCAGGGTCGAATGCGTCAGGTTCTAAAATTTTGCGGTGTAGTACACTGTTAGGTTGTTTGCTAAATCCATTCATAACTCGAACCGGCACACACAGCAAACGTAGCGTCGGCCACTAAACACTCAGTCAGAGCGGGGGTATTCAGGAGCGTGCGTTACTCGTGGGAGAGGAGAAAAAAGAGCAAAAGAAACGGTTTTTAGGTGTTTCCCCGAGCCAAAATAATAGTTTGCTTTAAGGTTGCTTTTAGTTTTCTATCGGTGCGCGGAGGGTCGCGCAAGGTACGCCAATTGGTCGTCAGGGTTCGTCACTGCCCGCGTGGAGGACTGACCTCGGTTTGTCATCGGGTCGCTCTGTTCGCTCTTGAGCGACGTGAGTACACATTTGAGTCGTCAAATTCGCTCTGAGAGCGACTCGAGTACGCTTTTGGGTCGTCATGTTGGCTCTGATAGCGACTTGAGTACACATTTTGTTCGCCCAGTTGGCCCGGGGTGCCCGTGGCCATCGGGTTTTTTCCTTCCTAGGAAACCCCGGCCGGGCGCTGGCGCTAATCCCTTGACCAGCGCGCTTGCAAGCAGGGAAGGGGCGGCCCCGGGGTACCTGAGGTCACGTCTGCACTGCACACTCTGCGGCTGGAGCCCACGATCTGGTCAGTCTCAGAGTGGAAGTCGCAGAGAAAGGATGTGTCCAAGCCTCCCGTGCATGCCGTCGGCGACCTACTGCTGCAAAGAAGTCCAACTATTTGATATGCGACTTGAACTTAACAGTGTTTTAAGCGTTGCTCCTAACTAAATTCGTTGGCCTCATCTGGAACATTACTCGCTAGTGTGCATCACCGACAAATAGACTCGTAGGTGACATTTATCAGCGAGCAAATGTTCCACACAATAAAAGCTTATGAACATTTTTGTTCATAGCTTACTGAGTTCTGTGTACGTGCTCCGCTTACGCATTTTTTAATACGCCAGTATGATCAAAATTGTTCATACCGGCGTAAGAAAAAAATGCGCAAGCGGAACACGTACGTACACAGAACTCAGTAAGGTATGAATAAAAATGTTCATAAGCTTTTAGTGTGCAGATGAGGCCAATGAATTCAGTTAGGTGAAACG